GTGTCGGCGGGGCAGAAATCAACATTCTCACACAAAGCTGGTCAATCTAGGGAGAAAAAGGCTACAGCAAGGTCTGCTGCTATCCATCTCAGCTTCTGCAACAAAATCCAGAAAGTTTTCCAGATGTAGCACTGGGGTGTACCAGAACTTTAGTCTTCACATATCCTAACAGTGCTGGGTTATTCTAGCACACTGAGACGTCCCACGGGCTGAGCGTGGAGCATGGGAATTGCCTGCTCGGAGGACGAGAAGAATCGTTTAGAAGAAATGCCGAAGAAAACTCTGGCGTTTCTACTTCCTATGCATAAATTTTTAGCGGTGTTTGGTGTCCTCAGACTTCTGCTTCTTGCTTTAAAACGTTGCAACTGAATTACGGCTCATTATGAGAACAGTCTAATTAACTGCTGCACAAGTACCAAACAATACGTGTGATACAAGGCTTTCCTACACGGTAATTTTAATTTTTAAGAACTATTTAGGGGCAAAGTCAGCCAGTCATTTTAAACTCTTACTAGGACATGCAACTGTACCAAAAAAAATCCCAAAACATGCAAAATCAAGCATTTAAAGTTCTCCATTTCAGTTCTAGAAGCAATAGAGGCTTTTCAATCCAGCGGCTTAACAGAGGAAAACTGAATGGAATAGACAGCGATTCCTCACCAACATTCTGAATGTTCTTCTTCATTTTCCCTGACTAGACAAGAACTTCCGTTTTCTCACCCAGCTCCTTGGTGAGGAAGGCAACCAGAATATACTAACGTTGGAGTGTAAAGTATTTTGCTTTTTGCATCTATCTGCAGAAACTTAGGAATAGTTTTAGCAGAATCACTCCCTAGGGATATCTAGTCCTGCCAGGACTAACCACCTTGGATTTAACCACCAAGGCAAGGACTGCAAAAAAAATAAATTAGTGCTTTTCCTTTCCTTATATGATGCCCTTTACCAGAAGCAGTGTAATTCTTGCTAAACTGATAAGTTTTTCCTGACATGTTGTCAGATTTCATCAGTAGATAACAGCTGACTGTGAAAGAAAAGACTATATAATAAAAAACCAAAATCACAGTGTGGCACCACATAATTCTGACATGTGGCAACCACATTTCGAATAGTCAGGAGGGGAAAAAAAAACCCAACCCACATCACTGTTTTTAATCCAGTGCTTTCTGTTTTGAGTAGCACGCTCCTGTGCCACTTCAGAATAAGCAAGGTCTCAGTGATGTCTCCTCACAGATTCCTGCTAAATTGCTTCTCAGCGAACACAAGTAGATTTGCTACACATAGCGAAGCACAGTAAGGTTAAGCTGGTCATTATAAAACACAGGTTACCTGGGGTTAGGCTGGAACAGTGTGTTTACCCAAGAGTTTAAGTGGGAAATTACTGTATGCTTTGTCCATCATGGAAACTTAAACCAGATTTCTTTCTTTCTGAGCAGGTGCAAGCTTTATAGGAAGAAAGATTTTCAACGGGCTGGCAGCCACCTGAAATAATCAACACTGCCAGCCAATGACAATCTTGCTGGGGAAAACCAAAGAGGTTCCCGATAACACGATACTTGTTTAGACACATGGGGATTACTCTGTTTGGAGAGCACTCAGACTGCTAAACAAGTTGTTTAAGGCTCTCTGAGAACACAAAGAATCTACAGTCAAATGATCCCTATGTTTGTCCATGGTGAGGAAGTCAAATGCCTGGCCGGGGGCAATGTTTCTTTCCAATTTACGCCAACTCTGGATTCTGCGGAGAGGAGCACCGTTCTCATCTGCAAGTAGCATGGCAGCTTTTACCACTTGATTTGTTTTCCCCATCCAACAAGCGCGTAGTGTTGTGGGGGCCAAACCCCAAGCGAGTCTTACCAAAGCTCTAAAGGGAAACGGCACCCTACAGTGACCTCGTCCCTTCCACCAACCACAGCTGCCATTGCCAGGCTTTTAGCTTTGTTTTTCATGGGACTTGTTATTTGTTTTGTTTTGCCCAAGACATAATGCCAAACTATAAGAGGGGGAATCCAACAGACCGATCTACCTTCTGGATGGTTTCTGTTTGTTCAGACCCGAAGTCCAGAAGAAGGGAAGCACAGACATTTGAAAAAAGGCATCCTGAGATTAACAGTTAAAAGTCAGCGGTACAAGTCCTAAGAACACTAGCAAGGACTCTGGAATCAGAGCACGGCTTAAGAGGGGGCTCCTTTAGTGGACAATATTTCGTATGATTTACTTGCCTTAAATTTTCTAATTCCTGTTTCTTCAAAGGCGAAGACGGCGGAGCTGCGATGAATTTATCCCCTTCGTGACTTTTATTGCTAGAATAAAAACAGTGTATTCATTATAGGGAGTCACTACAAATAATTAATTTAAAATATCAGTGTAATAAGCTTTGATATTTATTCACTCCATTTAAAAGGGCAGCAAAATTCTATAGCCTAAACAGGGAAATGAAGCTATGCAAAAATGGGGGCCCATGTTATTGTCCTAGCCATTCTATTTGGGAAGGAAGAAGGGGACCATTCGCTGGGAAGGATTTGACTGACAGACCACACAACCCATGCTGCTCTCCACAACCTCGAGCCATTTTTGAGGCTTGGTGTAGGACAGAACTCACTGCATCTGTAGCCTCTTTTCTTTTAGCTTGCAAGGAAAGCAGTAAACTCAGTCTCTCCATAGACATCTTAAAAACTCATTACATAAACGTTCTAGAAAGATAATCCACAAAGTGCTACAGCTTCCTTTAGACTTCTGGCTGCCTTTATTTTTATTATTTCAAAATGTCTTTTTTTAATAAAACTTCGCTTTAAGAAAGTTACACTTGGCTTTTTTGGGGGGAGCAAGTATTCACTCTACTTAAGAAGTCTGCAGCTTTGCTCTCCAACAAGCCGAAAGACAACCTCTTTCTGGAATAAGACTTGAAAAGGTTAACAGCTGCACCTTGGCAGAGAGACACTGAGGTTTAGAAACAACAGATCAGAAGCATTGGAATGGAAACCGAGTCTGTCCACCTAACAAGAACTTTTTCATTGATGCAGTTTCATATCTGTTTATTACAAATAGGTAAGAGAACTCTAACTTAGACCCTCGAAACACACAGCGGCAGACTCCAAGGAAACCTGCACTCAACACTCCTGTAGTGCATATACCTTACCTCATGCCTTTGCCAAAAATTAGATTTAAAAAATGCCTTTAACCACTGAAAGTATTCACCATGGGTTTTTTGGTGAATAACAGAAGAATCTGTCTCAGGGTCAGCCTGCTCAATTAGTGGGATTTGCTTCAAAAGCATCCTCTTCAATTAGTGTGATTTTCTTCCAATGCCTTCTATCTTTCACTCTTCCCTTGCAGAGGGTCCCGTGTCAGAAAGAACTAATCCTTGGAGAACCGTTCAGAATGTGACACGCATTCAAGAACAGCCTACTTTGTCACTGGATATTTTGAAATTGGCAATGACCACTGGGGGATATAAGTGAGACTTTTTTTTTAAGCTGAAGAATCATCTGGTTTCAAAAGCAGAAGGTAGTAAAGGATCTTCCCGTACAGGGCATGTTTTCCTTTTCTCACTCCTACAAAACCGGACAAACAAAAACCCCCAAAACAAAACAAAAAAGGAGGTCTACTCTGAGTAAGGGCCAGCACTTTGTTTTCATCACTGCCCCTTAGCAGGCCTCCTAAGGTTAAGACTGAAGCCATTTAAACCCGAGAAGCTTCAGCTCCATGGGCTGCACACAGACTGCCTGGGGAAGTTCCTTCACAACCTCCAAACTTGGTAAGGAAAAAAAGAAAGAGAAACACAAAAAAAAAACCCAGAGTTTTACCAGTCATTGGGTCACCTGACAGGAAAGGTTGTCATGGGGAACAAAAAAAAAAAGTTACAGGGAACAGCCTTCAAATATAGTAGCAATAGCAGCCACCAACCCCAGTCCTAGTCTACCTCCAGGCAGCCTCAGAATGCAGGATGCACCGTGTGCCTGTGGAACACAGCGTGTGCAGTAAATCCTGCCATGGGACATCGGCCACTTAAAATTTATCAGTACTTGGGTCTGACGAAACCGCTGTGTTTCTTCAGTACTGTCTGAAGTAGCCCAAGTTCTAACTTAGCCGCTTTTCCCACATCAGTCACTGCAACTCCCCCCTTCTCCAAAGAGTCATTAATGAAAGTGTAGGCTAAGACTAACCAAGTTACTCTTCAAAAGGCAGTTCAGAATGTATCAGGATCAACACAAAAAATTAACACACCTTCCTGCTATTAAACATTTGACATAAATTGTCTACAAGGTACTTTTCCTGAATCTTTAAGGAGGAGAAATAAAAGGGTTATTTTTCATAAACTCTTCATTCTAAAACACAGTTTATTAAGCGGTAGCTTCGTGCTGCTTTCCTACTTATTTTCTAAATCTAGTTTCCCATTTCTAGATGGTAGCAAACACAAAGCACACTCGGGGTGATGAGTGTCAAATCTGATCACGGGGAAACGTTTACAACTGAGCCGCCGGACATGTAGATACCGAATCAAGTACACGGCGCACGTGCACGCGCCCACATCACCACTGTAACATGTGAACCTTCACTTATGATTAGAGAAATGCCGACATGCACGGCGGGGGGGTGTGGGAACACGTCACATTGCCAGCACAGAAAAAAAGATGGCCAGTGGAAAACAAAAAAAGAACGTCACTGTCTAATGTGTTGAAGTTGTTGAGAATGGTAGGAATCGACCCAGAATTTTATTCTTGAACTGGCGTGTCGGCAAGTAAAACAACAACACACAGTAATTTCAACAGCGACTGCCTTGGCTATCCCGACACTGCTGAGAGAATTTACAAAGACATGGGGTTTTCTCCTGCTGGCCAAGCAGGATAGGCAGCAGACAGACAGGCAGCCCAGAGCTACTTGGAACAAAAAGGAAGGTTTGTAGGCAATTCTGTTTACCTGCATGCTTCACTGCTTTCACTGTTTTCTGTATTTCCTCCCAGCTGATTGCTCGGTTTAGATCCGTTTTCCTGCTTTGGCTCCTGTTGATCTTCTGGCAGTAGCAGCAAGGCGTTTCTTAGACAAATGGCAGCAAATTCCATACTGGCTACAGGTATTGCTGAGGACTGCCCGTCACTTCAAGAGACACACAGGTTAATCAGTGAGTAGCGATCCTACTAAATTAAAAAATAAAAGCAGAGCTCCAGAAAGATCTGAATGCAGAGAAAAATTTGTCCTAAACCACTTAAATATAATACAACACATTTAATTTATGAAGGTGCATGTATCTTGCTATTCTTATATACTGAAACGATGGCCAAACAGAGCAGGCAGGTTCAACCACACCCCTGCAAGTTCTCTTGGTTTTCTTCACTTCTTTAAGTTTTATGGCAGAGCAACTAGACGCTTCCTGCACTTTTCTAAAGCGGATTACTGAAAATATATATTTTAAGTGAGAAAAAGAGAACAGATTTAGCTAACTGGAAATACAAGTTTCAGACAAATCAGTGTAAAGCTTTAATGCCCGTGCTAGTTACAGCGACTCCCCAGTTAAGCCCTCTGCTGGCCAGCAAGGAAGAGGCATCCCAATGTTTGCATCCAAACATCCATGATGTTTAAGCAGGGCTCAAGCATTTTATGGCATACCTCTCTCTTCATTACATTATCAAGAGTTTTTAAAAATGTCACAGAACAACTGTTCATTTTGGAATTATTAAACAGGTACGTATCCTTAAGAAAGCTATGGTAACACAATAAATAGCCCATGGAAAACATACTTACTTATAAACAACATTCTGTATTGACTGGGACGCTAGGACTATCTTACGGTGGTAGCCTTGACCTACTATAGATTGCACAATCCCCTTTTTGCTGGGAAGACCTTTAGTCTCTTGTTCTGATGTCTAAAAGGAAGAAAAAAGAAAAGAACTAAAATATTAAGGTTGTTAAAAGAGTGCTTGACAGAAGTAAGTGAAAGTGGAAGACTTTGAACCCTATTAAATGTAAGAATTAATAGTTTATATGGGTACAGTTTTAAATCTCAAGGACCAGGAAGGACCAGGCACCTTCTATTGTCTCTGCGTTGCGGCGGGGTTTTACTGCATGCAGGCTAACCACAGATTAGTTCTGACAGCTTGTCTGATAGCCTACTGACCTAGTTTCTCCTCTGTTTTGAAAGCAGAAGAACAATGAGCCAAGTCGTATTCAAAGAATTGCTAGGGTATCTGAAAAGAAATCACGTGATCGGCCAAATAACATTCAGAATTTGCACCACAATGCCTGACACCTCCTCTCCCGGCTCACAAGGCATTCAAAATGCTCCCTGAAAAAGCAGCTCTCAAACCATTCCACTGGGAGCATAAAGCTGAAACACGACATATGCAAAATTACATTAAACTCACTTCTGTAATAGATTTTTGAGTATGCAGACATTCTGGGGGTCCAATGAACTTAAAGTGCCCCAACTGGGGGTCTCAGGAATTCTCTCTACACCATACTGACTGGGGTTTGTTCCTTTGTTTTGCCATGAGCCATCTTAAATTTGCTGCTAAGTAAAGTCAGCGGTGAAGAGTCGCAGTGGTAAGGAAAAACTTACCCTGAATCTGCATTTGAAATGGCTATGAAATAGCAGAAACCATACCAGAATGTTGTGCATGCAATAAAAATGCACACAAAATAAATGCACACCTATGAAGCACATTTCAGAAGAGGTGTAAAACTGCAGAGTTCCATCTATATTTTACCAACTCAGCTAGTGAAGCAGGTAAAAATTAGCTTTGGTGAAATTACTTTTCTCTGGGGTGTTGAGAGCATAACTATGAATCCATACTTGGACCTCAAGAAACATGACTGTAAATGGAGTTACAAGGTTAAACCAAACCCATAAATATTTTGTCATGTTGCCAATCTATCTTATCAAGGCGCTTCCCCTTTGCCTTTAAGAGCAACGGCATCCAAAGTTAATTTTTTTTCTTGTAAGATTACATATTTAGGAAACAGCGAGCTGGTTTTGTGACCCAAATTCAGGCTCCCTGGTACACCACACATCATCCCAACCACAGGATGGAAGAAAGCTAGGCTTCAGGAGCCTGGCGTATCTACTGCTTTGGCTAGGCTGCCGTAAATAAGAAGCAGCCCATAAGGGTCTGCATTTCCCTTTTCCAGACTGCTAAACACTGTCCTTGGAAACCAAATCTTAGCTTTGTGTTTTGCCACAAATCCTATGCTAATCCAGTCTCTCATTCCCAGCTTGCCACTGGAGGTGAGCAGCTGCGTCTCCTGCATGACTTGTAACCAGTAGGATAGTCACAGAAAACTGCAAGATGAGTACGAAGAAAGCTGGTGTTCCTGCATTCCCTGTGCTTTCTCAAGCCGAGTACTCGAACTACCTGACAACGGCTAGCGCACACACAGTCAAGTCAGCCCGGTTTTGAACCACCACCTTTGAAACTTCAATGCTGTGCCTGCGAAACGGGGATATAAGCAAACCTCTCCTATAAAGCTCCGAATATCCACCTTAAATTTGCTAAAATAGAGATACCAAAATAATGATCATCACTGAAATTCCCAAGGGAAAAGTTACACATTTTGTATTTGGAAGGATTTGGATAGCGTGCACTAAGTAACGCCACAGAGGCCACCCAGAGAGGGAAAACAGAATTCAGAGGGGGAACAAAATAAGAGTGAACACAGTCATTTGTTCACTTAATCCCACCGGTTCCATGCACCGAGTGAAACGGGCATATCGTGGAAATAACTGCGTGGGATCACGCAGTCACAGATTGCGTCATCACGCCCCCACACACGAGGGGTGGATCACAGTTTCACAGGGAATCAAGCACAGTCTCTCTTAATTGCACAGGCACACTGTTTTTGTGCGGTTTTCTGTTCTAACAATGAATGATCCTGTCCCCACCCCTCTGAAGAGGAACATACAGGCTTATCCTAAACAGACATGGATCAACAGGTTGAAATCAAGGTGGCCCAGAGGCGAATGAGTGAGGAAATAATGACACTTAAGATGAGTTTTGGCTGCATGAAGAGAAGGAAGACCACATGCAAAGATTTCAGTAGAAACCAGAGCACGTTTTGTTATCTTCACCCAGTTTAGTCCTATAAAATGAGACCACATCTGAATCTGGATAGTGGATTTACAGTAGACAATTAAAAAAAAACCACATAAGGAGTTTGTATTACTTGTACATCAAGAAAACTGCAAATAGTTAAGAACATCCCAGGAAGGAAGCTTCTCTTTAACCATATATATACTTTTATTAGTCCTCTACAAGAGTCTTTGCATCTTCCAGTAAAGTTCTAGGACACAGTGCTATATTTTGGTTTTTAACAAGATTATTCACCAGTCTGATCCAATAACCATATTCAGTAAAACATAAAAAACCTAACCTTACTGCCTGCTAACACAGTAGCAACATACTCTCAGGCATACCTTTTACACCGGAGTATCTAGCCTTAAATAGAAACAAAGGATCTCTACTGGACAGATGTATGTTTTCTCCTACTACTCCTGCTAAAACTTAAGATGGAACCTCCTCATTTCAGAAACAGTAATATAATTCCTAGAGGCTAAACATAAAAATCCAAGATGTTTCAATCAAAAGTTTTCAAAAAGAAAAGAAAAGCCTCCAAGTATCAGGAACCTAAGCTATGAAAGCTCTCCTGTGCATCATGCCTCAGAGTGAGTATCAACTGCCCAAGAGCAGCCATAAAAATTTTTCTTCCTTGGATATTACAAGTGGTCCCTGACTGCAATCTCACCTTGTTACGTCTGCAATCCACGAACAGAACTCCTTGGAAGTACAGAACTTGGTACAGAGAAAAGACTTTGAGCAAGTCTAATTATTCTGTTCACACACAGACGACAGCATTACTTCTGGGGTTGGTTTTTGTTGTTGTTTGTTTTCAATATACTTCATATATTATTATATATATATACACACACACACACACAGATTTTGCAAACAATATGAAGAGTGTGGAAAGCTGAGGCATCATAAAATATCCATGAATAGTAAGTCAAACTATTAATGTTAGTAATATTAAGTATCTACATATTAGAGAGCATTCCCCACAGAAAGAACATATTGCTTGCTGTTACAAAGTGATGTCTCAGAGAATAATACAAGTTTCTCCAAATTATACCTGTATGTCTACAATTATTTCAAGACAAAGCAAGGTAAACCATCAGATGGCTTGGAGAAATCTAACATGCTCCAAACCAATTCTGGATCACCCATCCAGACGATGAGTTGGAATGCCAAAGGGGTGCGACAGTAAATTGCCAAAACAAAGTCATGATTAACCAGTGTCTCCAGCAAAAAAACTTGCAACTTTACAGAGGAGCAGCTCTAACAGCCACTTAGGTGACGTCGTTTCTCCTCACGCCAACCTTTCGAATAGCCTACTCAAACCCGTCTCAGAGAAGTCAACTAAACGCTGCGTCTCAAGACGCTGCTCCTGTGGTGGTTTTCCCCACCTGTTGCAGCATCACATTAAACACGCAAACACACACAAAAGGAGTTAATCTGGACTTACACAGAGGTGCTGCGACATTAGGCCTTTAAAACAGAGTCCAACTCAAGCTACTACACTTCTCCCTTTCTGTGATCACGTGTATTTCGCAACTAGAATCAAAATGAGGGATTTGCAGACCTACTTACCCCTTTATTGGCAGCGATGCAGCATTCTGCTATTCTCAGCCAAAGACGAGGGTTTGAGTGATAAACCTGGACGGCCTCGATCAGGCACTCGAAGGCAGCTAACGGCCTCCCAATATGCAAGAGCTGAATTCCACAATTGTAGAGCAACTCATACCGTTTGTTAGTCAGCAGCGTACACATGGGTCTCCCTGAAAATTTTTTACCTGCAGAAAAGGATTACATCATATTGGACATGCAGCTCAGGAGAGCAGAAAGCCTAACTCTGGGAGGAGGAGGGAAGCTGTGGGAAACACCCAAAAGCTAGCAAAAAAAACCCTTTCATTGCAGAAATTCACCAGTCTCCCTTTCTAAATAAATCCCTTCCACATCAAAGCTGATACCAAAACCAAATTAATTGTATTCTTAATAAAGGCTGAAGTACATTAAATGTTAACCACTTATGTTCCCTGCCACTCAAGCTAAATGTTATGTAATGATACTGAATCCCAGATTCATGCGAATGCACATCTCTGTTACTCATACAAATTCTGTAAGAAAAACACTGCTGTTAACAAGTATAAAACATTTCCTCTCTTCTCAGTGGTACCTAAGGCTGCACCTAGACATGGGGCATGGGGAAGAACAGGAGAAACAATGTAATCTATGATAGTAACTAGATTTTGAAGAAAACAAGAAATGAAAAAAAAAATCACTTCATCATAAAATTATTTACTTGAAAGAAAAAAAAAAGTATTATTAGTCAAAGCAAGAAAACTTATTAGAATTATTTTCTTGTCTTTCATATACTTAGAACAAAAGTAGATGGATAAAACTTACCATAAACCTAAGCAACAGATGAACAATTCTCATTCAAGTCTGAGAATTGTCCAGCAAGGAAGTTTGAGAAAATACGCCACCTTCCAAATGCTATTTTAACAGTACTGCACTCCACATCTTCTGTATCTTCCCAGTTAAAAAAAAAAACCCAACCAAACACACCCCCCATCCTTCAATCCTGACGACTGTACCTACTGTCAGCAGGACTATAACTAACATCTTTAACAACGCATAATAGGCCACAAACATTGCTGTATCCCCCTGAATGGTGGTCAAAGACTATAAACATGAGGGAAGCAACTGCCCCAGCCCCATGGCATGTCAAAGAAAACAGCAAAAAGAAGAACGTATTTCATCACCACCCATTTTGGCAACAGGAACTATACTCTGAAATCAAGTCACAATCAAAATTCTCACCCTCCTTATCCTGTCCCCTGCAAAGAGACGGAACGGTAATTTTGCTGATCAGTACTGCAAGTTGCTACCCTCTATTTTATTGATTTGCCCACCCCTCTTCCACCATCTATTTTCATCTCTTAAAAGCCTTACCTGGATCTGAGCTGCCCATTCCTAGCTGTGCACACGCATTATCGTTTTCTTGCAAGGCTTTTTTAAAGTAAAAAATGCCTAAATTGTGCTTTCCCATTGCAAAGTGGATGCAGCCAAGATTGTTCCAGAACATACACCTTAAGCATTCACCTGAAAGAACAGGAAAAGACCGTTTTTGTAAGCTGGAAAACATCACTGAGCCCACAAAACGCTCCCAGCACTCTCTCGCGTGTCAGCTTATTAAACAGGGGTAGGCTACTGAACATGTTCTGCGGCGAGATGCTGACGGATGACGCAGCTGTGTCACTGCCTCGCAAGCGTTTTAGTCACCTACATGTCTGTGCACCACTCTTGAAGAAGTCGGCCTGTAATGACCTATTATACAGAGGGCACAGATGTCCAGACCTTGTGCTCCACATTTGAGGGGAGCCAGCTCTAAAACCAATTTGACAGACTGCAAGTTGAAGTAAGTTCACCTGGAGGTTTTCATAGAACTTCGCATGCAAGCACTCCGAGTTTCCTAAAGGATGGCTCTTGTGAAATAAAGGAAATTCTCCAAATGTTACCTGCCCAAGTTTTATAAAATAAACAAACACGCCAGCCTGACTGGCCAAGCAGGCAACGTGCTCTCCTTCCTAAATATGTCATGGTCAGGTAACAGCGTGGGAATTCCCTCCTAAATAAAAGACAGAAAGTTGAATTTTGATCTATCTGCTCGTAACTGGAGTTTTACAGGGTAACCACTGGTAGAAAAGAAAAAAGGAAACCTCACCCTAAAAATCCAAACAACCAAGAAACAGACCATTAACAAATTAAACAGACATTATTTTAACTGTAACCTAGGAAGACTATTAAGTGACCATTCTACTGTGCAAAACCCCTACTGCAAAAAAGTTATATGAAAATCAAACTTTCCAGTTAGGTTCTAAAAAGAACTTTTAAGGATAAAAACTGCCAGAAAGATAAGTTACCGTAAATTCTAAAGGAAGTGTCAAAATAAACCAGAAGAGGCATTATGGAAAATATTTTTAATGTTTTCTATGAAACTCGTCTGTAAATACAGAAGAAGTTTAAGAAGTTTACTCAGAGGGCCAACTCTGTGACTCCTATCACCTAACTGCAATCGCTGCAGCAACAGCTACCAGGTGAAAGACCTTATGGCACAGGAAACTGAGTACCACCACAAAACCCGCACTGAACATAAAGAAATACAGTAGTTTCACAGTACAAGTGTTTTTTGAAAACCTAACTCTCTACTGTCACAAGACAGCTTTCACTCTGTATTTTTCAACTGATATTTTAAGCAGTCAACTAAAACCTCAAGTATAGTTAAATAACACTGCACACAGCAAGCGTATATAGAATCATAGAATGGTTTGGGTTGGAAGGGACCTTAAAGATCATCTAGTTCCAACCCCCCTGCCATGGGCAGGGACACCTTCCACTAGATCAGGTTGCTCAAAGCCTCATCTAGCCTGGCCTTGAACACTTCCAGGGATGGGGCATCCACAGCTTCCCTGGGCAACCTGTTCCAGTGCCTCACCACCCTCTCCGGGAAGAACTTCTTCCTGAGTTCTTATATATAAACACAGCACACGTATTTACAGGACATGAATAGCTTCCATTGCTCCAAAACTATACACATCTATGCTCTGGTAGATTTCTGTGCATGTCTACACAGATACACTTTCTTGATATAGACGTGGCACACTGTAGGAGCCCATCCCTAAGGATTCACAAACACTCGTGTTTTCCCCCCTAGTCATCGTTACAACTGCTACGGTCTCCCGAGTACAGTCGGAAGTCTCAGTTCTAGATCCAGCGTGCTGACTTTTCTTTCATGGCTTGACTTAGATGCCCGAACAGGAGCCTTGCAGACATTACATTCACAAATCTGTTTTCAGACCGCCACTTCACTGTCTACAAGAACATTCAGTGAAAAACACAGCAGTGTAACATGCAGGACCACGACAAGGAAAATGAAAACACGTCCAGCGTATAAACCCACAGCATCCAGAGCCTACTCCCTTAAGTAATCATTAATATGCTTCAAATTATTGTTATCGAGTAGTCCTATTACACATTTAAGTACTTTCAGGATGAAGGTTTTCTATTTTACCTGTTTTCATGAAGCCTGGATGTTCAGCAATGTTTGCACTGTTTAAAAGTTTGACCGCTTTACGATAATTGCCCCTCAAATATTCAAAATTGCTCTTAAGAAAGAGAGAAGGAGCTGACTGTGAAGGAGAAAACAATAGTTAATTATCTCTTGGTTGATGATTTCTACTGCTAGTGTTAAATCACTCCAAACGCAGCTTGCCTCTGCTGCCATTGTCAAGATACATGGGCCTAGGCCCTAATACTTTCAAGCAGCAGCATGTCTTTGTTAAGTACAAGATCAACACTCACCTCCTCCAAGCTACAAAACTATGCATACTCTTCATTACTGCTCCAAACCCCAACATGATTCTAGAGAAAGAACTCTGTCACGGCAATGCCCGAGTGCAGAGGATCTCCTTTTCATTCCAGAGGTTCCTTCTCCAACCTATCTCCTAGTACACTCCTCCCACACTTCTCTCCCTGTGGAGAGTTCAACAACTTCTTTCTGGGCTGCGATCTTCCTGGTTTGCCAACAGAGACCTCACGATCCAGATGGATTCCTGTCAAACTAGTGGCTGCCGAGACTGACAACACAAGGGAAGTGCTTGCCTCCCATTCCCTGCTTCTCAGTTAATGAGGAATTTATCTGGGATGGTGAACATAATTCTGAGTTGAGAAGATATAATAAATACATAATTTATATATTATATTACACATTATTTATATTATTATCATAATTAATATATAATAATATTGTGTTATATACTATAATATATAATAAATAGAAACTGCTTTCTGGCAAGGGGGAAGAAAGAACCCAGAAAACTGTATCCCAGAATTAATCTTTCTGAACTGGTTTAAACCACCGGTGACATCTGAAGTTTGTAATACCTGTAATATCTGCAGTAAACTAAAAATTGGTTGCACCGCTAAATTGCGCAGCAAACTGAACCTGTTTATTATATACTGCTTCCCTCTTATGTCGGTATCATTAATAATAACGTGCCTTTTTCTGAGCCAGAAAACTGTATCCCAGAATTAATCTTTCTGAACTGGTTTAAACCACCGGTGACATCTGAAGTTTGTAATACCTGTAATATCTGCAGTAAACTAAAAATTGGTTGCACCGCTAAATTGCGCAGCAAACTGAACCTGTTTATTATATACTGCTTCCCTCTTATGTCGGTATCATTAATAATAACGTGCCTTTTTCTGAGCAACAGAAAACAAAGGAAATAAAATTTTCACTTGCAGAAAGGAGATTACAAACCCAACTGACCACATAAAGCATTAAGTCAGACATCCCTCCTCAATAAGAACTTCCTGCGTAAACAAAATTTAGCAAAATTCCGTTTTTAGACAGAGAACAGATATAGATTAGAAAAAAAATAGCCTTAAGATACTTACATTCCCAGCTGTATTCATAACAGACTTGATCTCCCTTTTGCATGCTTTTAGTGACTTCATCTGGATATAGGCTCTCACCTTATACTGTTAAAAAGTTAAATTTGTTACATAAAAAACAACAACTTTGGCAGGTTTGCAAGATGAACCATATCTAGAGATTTATTACTGACTATCTGATACGCCTCTTAAAAACAGGTAGTAAAAAGCTTTCCTAGAGGAGAAATTCTATTCACACTTTCAACAACAATTTTATAGGCTTTGTATTTACAGTAAGCAGATGCACATTTTGTTCAAAGGTCAACAGCTACTCTCTGTTCAAACACAGACACTAGCACTTAAAATGACAAACTCATTAAAATATTCTAATCTCTTAGTCCCAGACATTTACCTACTAAACTGAAAGCACCAAAGAGCAAATGCTGATAGAAAAGCATTTTGTTCCTTCGCGTGTTTTTCCACAGAACAGTGCAGTGAAATAAAACCTCGGCTGATTTAGACTGTTGGAGGTCTAACAGATGTAAAGTCAGTGCAGCCAACTGCAGTTTAAAACAGTCATCATGAACTGCAAGGACTTTAATAGGGTTTATTTTTTTAATGTCAGTTTTTCCTGTACATGGATTTTACAAAAAGGAATGGTTAGATAAAGTCATTCTTCTGTGTTACAACATGAAATTCAAGGAGAGACACAGCATCACAATTCATGCTGAACTAGGTCTGAATCAGATGGCACTCGGTTTTAAGAAAAACTCGAAGTGATGTTCTTGTGCAAGTAATTGTGCAGACACTTACCTGATGTATCTTAGATTTAGCAACTTCTATTAAAGCTCCACTTTCAGCTTTTTGATTCGAGGAGTCTTTATTTGTATTATTACCTGACTAACAAAGAAAAAAAAAAAGGGAATTGTTACTATTGTTACCTTTTAAATTCCGTTTACAGACCCTTTCATTAGCCACTTTTACCAATCCCACATGAAAAAGAAAAATAAGTAATAGTCAAAAAATACACATCCCACTAAATACTATATAACTCAAGCTTAACAATCAAAATCCAGCAACCACCACACCAGCCTATGAAGAGCAGAATTTTACATTAATATTATGCCATGTTGCTATTTTGCTCTACAGCTGAGGTATTTTAAGAATTCTCTTACCCAGAAGAATGATGTGCACATTCTAGAATCTGTCTTTAATAAAGATAAAAATGTTTTCCCACTAAATACTATATAACTCAAGCTTAACAATCAAAATCCAGCAACCACCACACCAGCCTATGAAGAGCAGAATTTTACATTAATATTATGCCATGTTGCTATTTTGCTCTACAGCTGAGGTATTTTAAGAATTCTCTTACCCAGAAGAATGATGTGCACATTCTAGAATCTGTCTTTAATAAAGATAAAAATGTTTTATCTTTTTTTTTTCAGGAAAAGACTGAAGTGCCCTCTTTTCACTTCCAAGCCACTACTCATTCTACTGATGTTTCCAAAACCACACACAAAAGTTTTCATTTGAACGTACGCCTCATACTTTCAGACACCATGTAAGAAAGATGCTTGATTCCCCATACTATGATACACAACAACAATTCCTCTCTGCCTTCCCTTTCAATCTTAGGGTCTCATATAGTCATAATCCAAGATAAACAAGGAAAATTATGTAAATCTGACACTGAAGACAACTGTCTTCCCAGTGCAAGTCTCTGGCTTCAGAAACACTTCTTAGCTCCCTGGGAGTAAGAGAAGAGTGTGAAAGAGAGGGAATAGACAGCGGCTGCATATCATTAACTCCATGACTAACATGTATAAGTTGCTATCTGAAGTTACACGTGATCTAACATAGTTTCATAAGTCAAAAGCATTTTAAAGAAAGTAATTTTGGATTGAGTTCAAGCATACTTCCAGTTAAGCCTTAGTGGCATTCATCCCATTTGAAGCTTACCTCATTTTTTCCATTCTTGCTGTTATTGTTGCCCTGTGAAATCATTTTTTCCAGAACAGCAAGCAGATGCAAGGCTTTCTCAGCTTGGTAAGTTAGCAGGTATAAGTCTACAAGCAAGAAGCACACAGCCTGGGCAAACTTCTCTTCTGTATAGAGCAAATAAGTAAAAATAATGTTACAGCTCTAACACAAACCTTCCAAACATGAATGAAGAAAAAAGATATGCTACAAAGTGCATCTACGCAACATTATGAGAAAAATCAGTATACTACACAAGAAAAAAATGCAGACATCTGCAGTATAGGTAAGTACATATACTGGAAAAGTAATTCATTCAAACAGCATCAGCATAAAAGCACAGACTAAAGAGAGCGTAACGTGCATTGCATGTTTACAGACTTTGAGAGTCATTCTAAGCAGATCAGCCCCAAAGATCCAGATGGAGCCATATGCAGATGTGGAAGCCCATAGAATTTGAAAAGATTCTGTACAAACACATCTCTGCCTGGCTGGCTTCACAGAGAAAGTCCTAAATAGGCATACTGAAAACTAGGAGGAATCGAAGGAGAAGCACTGTGGCATTCACTTAATTTATTGAGACATACACACATACATCCCTCAGCCTTGTCATCGCTGAAGTTCAACAAGGATTATTAAGTTATGTCATGCAAGTATGGCAATTCCACTACACAGGGTGCCATGGCTCATAAAAGCTGGAGATGTTATATTCAGATACGAGCACGTACAATTATGCATGACCTAATGCAGGTATTTAAAAACGTGAGTGCCCTGACACACCCACCCATGAAGTTGTATGATGACTCAAAATACTAGATTTTAAATCATTTAATTAGCTTGTGCATATTATTTCTATGAGTATCTTTTCAAGTTGTCAAAAACCCATTTCAGTTTCATTAACACTTGTCTGCTGAAAGTCTCCAAAATACCTTCCCCCCAAGATTCAACTGTTGCCCTCGATATAAACAAAACATCCTTCATTCCAAAGCCAACCTACTTTTTCAGAACCCTAACAGGCAAATGTCAAATCCCTTGTCTGACAGTGAGAAATACTGAACGATCTTGCTGTAGTTACTGCACACACAACACTCTTCTCTCCGTCTACATACCAAAAGGCTCTATGAACTGGTACAGCTTCTCCCCGACGGATATGGCCTCCGTGTACTGACGCAGATGGTACAAAATAACCGCCTGGTTGTAGTACAGCATACTATTTTCAACGTCATCTAAACCATCCATTTCTTCAACAACAGAGTGAACCTGAAAAAAAAAACAACCACTCATTTCATTAAACTTTCAATGCGTGTGACTTGAAAAAGCGTGAGCTATTTTTAGAACGTAATTCCAAGGTATTAATCTCTTAAAACAGGTCAGGAAGAGTTAACCTAACAAACTTCGTTGTTCCACATAAGCCCAGCAAAAAAAATTAGTGGAATAGAAAGCTGTCAATTGAGTAGCAAAGTAACATCTTCACTTGTTTATTACTTGACAAACTCCTTTAGGTTAATGAACTTCCCACTGAAAGAACACAGCAGGTCTTTCTATGGTTATTATCTCTGAAACGTTTCAGCTTCAGGTCAATTTCAACAACAACTAAAAACATAACTACAAAAACAATGTCCTAAATGATTAAACAGACTCAGACGTTTAAAAGTAATGTTCCTCTCTTATTCCTTTACTAAATCCAGGGAAGGAGGGGCAGAAGTTTGATTCCTATTTCACTGGAAGATCTCACCACCCTTAACAGCACTCAAAATCCATACCTTGTCAGCATGTTTGCATTACCTGGTTCTTCAGCTGGTTAAGGGTTTGTCTCAAATTGTCTGTTGTTGTCTGGTTACTTTTACAGAACTCCGCAACAGCCGTATTCAAAGTTATTTTGTAGTCGTCTTTGTTTATGTCTTGAAGGGTAGTCAGGTGTTGTAAACAGGCATCATAGTTCCCAGCCTGGAAATTGTAGAGGTACCGGACACATGCATCAGAAGACACAAAGTTTAAACAAGCAGGCTCCTAGGTTTTAATTCAAGTACCCTCTGTAAGTGTAGAGGGCAAAGCAGTATTTCCCTTATCGACAGCTAGTGAAGCCAACTAAAGGTCTACCCGCACACTTCATGATTTATGCAGATTAGCATGTACGAGAAGGAAGTCTGAAAGCTGAAGTCATATCCAAACTTCAAAAAGAACTTTGTGGAGGAAGGACAAATGGAGTAGCTGATGTTTCCATGAAAAGAGTTACTCTGATTTCTCCTCATCATACTATTTTGAGTTTCGAGATTCTTTATTTCTTCCGTTTTTGTAATCCTTCCCCATCACCTGTACACTGAGCAGCTGCTTACTAAGTCCCAGCCCAGCATTTTGTGTTCATTCTTCACTTCATCTGGAGAGACTCCCAGTTAGAATTTAGCCTGTGGAAGTCAGCTTAAGACAGGTTGGAAAAAGAAGGTGTCACTTTAAACCCAGTACAGGTTTAAATAGTATTTTTATAAGTTTTAGCTATTGAATTAAGTTTTCAATCATCTAGGCACACCTAAACAGAAACAAGGTGTGATTTAATCAAGAAATCCCTTTCTTCGACCTCAGGAATGAGCAAGGACTTCAGAATGGCTCACCTCTTCCTGCGTTCAGTTTTAGTCTCTTCTGTGTTTGTGCAGGAGGAATTTAGTGGCATTGAGGAGTGAAAGAGAACTCCAGACTCATCTATGTTCAGCCTAAATGATCCTTCGCTGTCTACTGTTCAGTTCCTACAGAGGAATAAATCACCTTCACCTCCTCCATTTCAGGGTTACTTGCAATCTGGTCAGGCAATAACCAGATTTGTTTCCATCTCTGTCAACGCTTCACAACCAAAAGCTACGGTCTTGAGTACCACAACCGCCCTCCACTTTCTCCTCCTGTTTAAGTGCTGTCCCATGGAGCTTCTCCTGGGCTTCTGCCTAACTGCCTCTATTGAGGGAAGAATTAGAACAGAGAAAGGCTCTGTGGTCCTTCTGCTCTTTCCAAGAAAAGCTGCTGTTCTGCCACTACTCTCAACAGAACCATCCCAGTTCCTTCAGTCACCTGTGAAAGCATAGTTACACATTTAAAGAGATGTAGCAGGACACTGACAGGCTAAGTATCAACAGCAGGGATTGCCTAGTGATTACGTGCATAAACATAGGGACTTGCAACTGCTGGCAGGCTTTTTAATTGAGACAGTTCATGTCCCAGTGATTTTCCTCATGTGTTCACACTCACGGCTTCTTTTCAACAGGAGTAGCTTTCAGATCCCAGCAACAAGGCTTCTAACCACAGCTGGACTAAAAACCTCACACTCTTAAATGCTCAGCTTATTCAGTGATGTTTTTCATCAGCTAACAGTCTTTTTCTCCATTCTACTACACAGGATCTAGAATATAACACACAATTTTACACCAATTCTGTCAAGACTGAAACTGGAAGTGCAATATGATAATGCACCAGGCAAGGCACTCCACAAAGTTATTCAGAGCAACTCCATAGCAAGCAAAACTGGCAAACAAGGCAGCAGATCAATTCTGCACACATCTGTCAGGTCCATGTACTTAGAGTTCTTAAAGCAAGAAAAAAAACCCATGAGATACACACGATACACCTGAACGAGTATAAAACTAAAGATGAAGTCATCAGTAGATCAAAAGTATTATTGACACGTAGATCTGTGGGCAAGGTGGAAAACAAATGACCCTACCATGTGCCCTCAGTTCTCAGGTTCAAATGCCAACGAGCAAAATGTTAGTGAAAGAGTAAATGAGCTAGAAAGCACTCAAGATGACATCAGCTGTAGTCAGCTGAAGGACCAACTACCTGCACTTCAGGTAACAGCATTCCAGACCAAACGGAAGTCATGAGGGAAACATATAAGCAGGAGTCTCAAAAGACAGTATTTAAATTGCTCCCCCGCATCCAAAACTGAATTAGGCAAGGCGTCGTGGAGACAGGGATACAACAATTGAAAGGAAAAGCAATTAAACTTCCTGTCACTTGCTACACGAAAAATCAGGAGACAAGACAAAGAGAGAAGTCAACTGCAAGACCTGGTACCTGTAGGCGTTACGTGCTGAAGAACATGTTTTCAGGTAAAGTGACAGAACAGCATACAGCGCTTTTTGTGCAAGAATACAGCAAGAGCTGAAACCGAAACGGTTTGGTCAGTTGCCGTTTTTTAAACACACGTGGTCGCTTTAAACCCTTTAACACAACATTTCTAGCTTGAAGCGATTAATTCTTCAGAGAGGCAATACAGAATAGCAGCCTGCTGCTCCCAATTAACTCACTGTACATCTTTTAAGGCTATTATGTTTTGAGAATCAAGATTAAACGTGCTCTTATGCGCTTAGTTCAACCGCTCCCTTCAGTCTTCTCACATCACCAGAGACAGAAAAAGCATGTGTTGGCTTCATAACACAACCAGTGCTACTTTTGATATAATAACCCATTAGTACATGTGCATCTGTGCTAAGAAGACAGGAAAAATAATTATGTAAACCCAGTTAGCAGTTACGTGGAAGTTGGAAGTTTCAGAGTTTGGCTTTGTCTTACCAGAAAAGCTTGTAACGCACTACTCGACAACTCCTTTTCCTGATCTGTAATCCCAGAAGTGCCCGCTCCTTCATGTTTCTCAGTCCCTTGGTCTGTAAAGCAGACAGAGGATTAGGAGAAATGTGTTAAGTGCTATGACAGCTATTCATCTCAAAGTTTTTGTTTCTTCCAGTTCTCCGGATCCTCCTGCCAGTACAAGTAGCTTTCCAGCTAACGGCAGAACTGTCTCCCTACTACCCTAACGTATCTCAAGTTATCCTAGTGACTTCCTCTCCAGGAAACGTAAATGTAGTAACCCTCATTACATTACTGCGCTCAATCGATAACCAAAGTCCTCAAGTTAACTGACAGTGCACATCCTACACTTCTCTTTAGAGGAGCACACTAGGACTGTCTTCATGGGCACAAACATTAGAGAAGGCCGCACATCATAAAATAAGAACCACACTGGCTTAGATGAAAAACCCATGCATCTTGTATGCTGGTACGTTAGGAAAAGGAATAAAATGTTTTATTCCAGGGACTACTTCAAGGAAAAACAGTACTGTCCCTTCTCCTGTCAAGTCAGTTTTATGGCCGTAAGCTATAGTAAGCCCCAACTACTACAACTCAGCAAACAAAGCAGGTCTGTGAAACTTCAACTGGAAACTTACCAAGACTTAAAGTCCAGCTGACATAGTTCACAACCCAGCTCTTTGGAAAAGAAACTCCACTTTGGCTACTCTCTACCCTTTTTGCCCAAACACACTTGAAACCTGTTGAAGACCTAAAGGTCCTTTTAATCTACTGTAACCCTGCCAACTCTTGTTTACACCAGGATCTACTGCTCCAGTTCATCTTTATTACCAAGAGATCTCAGAGACAGGAGTCACCTAAAAGTGGGAGATGAACCCTCCAATTCCACTTAAACAGGGGAAACCCTTGCTCTCTTGTCTGCAAATGGCTATCAAGTGCTTGGAAATAAAACTATTAACTCCGTATTTCTTGAGGCATTTGCTAACGAAACCGGCAGGTGCAAAACATCTAGCTCGCTCACATCTAGCACCCTTCGGCGTTCTTGCAGAAGCACGCCCAGCACACCACTCCCTCCATACAATAGCTACAGTTATCAGCTGCAGTACCTGAAACAGTGTTTTAGGAGTGACAGGACTCGATTTACCTCTTGGGAATTGTATTTACACATGGACCTGTTTAATTTTTCATTCTGTCCAATCTTCACAAAGACAGGGCAACTCTGAAACTGACACTTGTCAGGCAAGTGATGAGGGGCAAAAGGGGCAACCCGGAAAAGGATGTAAAAATCAACTGCTCAGATTCTGGAGAAAGCTGTTGCACTGAGTTTGAAGTTAAAGAAGCAAATCAGGAAACTATCTTCCTAGTTAGCAATCCTGGGCCTGAGCAGCTGAAACACTATGTCATGATGGCTCGTTTGCTTTGCACAAGCTGGTACTTGCACCTACTGGAGACGTTACATCTTGGTGGACAGCAGAACTCGGGGAAAAGTGGCTCTACGAGAGGAGAACAAGGACAAAGCATGAGACTGCCACCTGAAAAGGGAGATTGCTCTCCTCATTCGCTTGCTGCCAAAACATCACATAAGCAACAAGTAGCCACATCTCCCACATACGCATACCCAAAGACAGCTGGAGAGCGACTGCAATCATTATCCTTCTCATACCTGCTCTCCATACCTCCAAGCACTGATGTTCCTGGGCTCTCTTGCTCCTACACCTTGTAAATTACATCTTGCACGAACCGTGCTCTTGAATACCAGAGCATCTCTGGAATTACTTTCTTATTTCCAAAAACTCTACAGGCAGGGGGATAATCTCTTATTGGAAAGGGAGGAATCTGTCCCATGACTCTTGCTCCAAAAGTGTTTTGAAGGGTATGACTACCCTACTGTGTCCAGACTTCATAAGCAGATGACAGTTTGCGGTACCAAGGCTACATTTTTCTAGGAAGCCCTGCACTACCAGTACAAACATCAGACTTCTTCAGTGCTGCACAATAAAAATGAACCACTTCTCAGTGGAAAGGTATTCGTAACTCACTGCCACGAACAAGTACAGTACATAGAATATCTTGCCAATGGCTCATGACTGATTTATTTGGGCACATACTTTTCTTTTAAGAAGCTAGAACTGACAAGCTCCTTCAACGCTTCCAAAACCAACAAAAAAAATTAAAAAAACAACCACCACCTTAAAGCCAATTTTTTCTTGTAGTTTAGGAGATGCTTACAGTGCTTACAGAAAAACATACAGTGCTTATAAAAAAACAGGACAATTTAATCACAGCAGTAAGTCCCGTTGCCTGTCCTGCACACTGCCCTCTCCTCCAGCCCCACGGAGCTGCCAGCCGAGGGAAGGACCTTTCCTGCGAAGGGGACTCCTGAGGGCAGCGGCGTATCAGCGGTAACGAGCCACACAGCAGCTGCACTTCACATTTACTTCGGAGGTTCACCAGAACATGATTTATTTTGCAGTCTCGGTCATTTCTCTCTATGGTCTCCTTTCAGGCCCAAAGCCCCACTCGTGCCCTGAAACTCGGGCGACTCGGAGGGACTCAGACTGAACTCCGGAGACTCAGCAGCAACACGAAACGGTCAGCTCTCCCCAGCACCTTCCCAATGACCAGTCTGACAAAGTAACTGCTGCATGGGTGAGCGAGAGGGCACCCA